AAAGCCATCTCTATTAATCTGCATAACACATCTGTGGATTATTCCTAAATAAATGAGCAAAGCTATCAATTTCTCTCAAAAGAAAATGAAAAGCACGATTTTGGATATTCATCATTCATCTTGAATTCTGAACATCAGGGCAAATGTGGCATGGAACATGCGATTTATTGTAAATAGAGCATGAAATTAAGGGAAAATAAAATGTACTGACAGACTCATTTTTGACCTGGGTGTGCAATGTCAGTCACTTGGATTGAACTCCTCTTTTAACAAGAAATAATTTGAAGTTAGTATTCCTGATAACAAAAGATCTAAATTCAGTATGGACTTAGTCCAAGAAACTACTTGTTAACCCGGCAAACAAAAGGCATTTATCACAACACTTAGCTTAGTTACACATCTTTGGCAGTAAGCATCTTATTCCCATTTCTCATCAATGAACATTTCTTTCATTTGAATTTAAGTGAATTCTGTCTCCTTGTCTCTATCCATCTTCCTCTTCCTCAGCATTTTAGAAAGGACAATTATTAAGCTTATTAAGTAACAGAGACAGCCACATCTCAAGAGCAAAGCAATCTCGAAAATCATCACAGGGAATATAAAGGGTCTGGCTTTGAAAACTGTTCTGGAATAGCTTTTTAGGCAACAACATTCACCTATCAAAAGGAAATTTTTAATCATGCCTTTGGGACTCCACTTTCTATGGCTAACCTAACCTTAGAAGTTATCTGAAGTTTAAAATGATAAAAGAAAGTATAACAGAATGAATTCCAAGTTTGAGAAAAAATTTGTAGACATTTCTGCAGCCCATATGTTGTTATAAATGCTTAGGCACAGCTTTTCAGATAGAGATGAAGAGCCCATTTACAGTAAAACCTTGGTTTGCGAGCATAATTTGTTTTGGAAACGTGCTTGTAATCCAAAGCACTTGTGTCAGAAAGAATTTCCTGAACTGATATAGGACAAATGTAACTCCCAACAGATGTCAGATGTGCCAGGTTCCTGATCTCAAACAAGATCAAGGAATAAAGTTGTGAGCCAAAGGGAAAAGCTAGTACAGATTGGAAATAAGGAGAGATCAGCGTCTGGATTTCTAGGGAGTGAGTGGTCACTGGGTCTGTTGTCAGGAGCAATTTACACAGCAAAGTCACAATGTAGGTCAATCTACAAGCAACCTGCAGGATTACAAGATAACTGCTTAGCTAATCTTGATCCAGTAGGAAAAAGAGACACATGTTAAGGGCACATGGGCTTGGGTGACTGGTACCCATCTGCATGCACTGGACAAGGCGGTGCTGGTTATGGTACTTTCTCAAGTTACAGTTTATCACTTCGGAAGGTGTGCAGGGCTGACCACTGCATCTTCATCTTGAGGCCCGGCCTTCACGTGCACCTTCAGCCACAATTCTGATGTTTTTATTTTTGTGCTGACTTCCTTGAAATCCCAGTCCCTCTCCTTCTCTGACTATATATTAATTTCTATCTAGCTTAGCTGTTTATAATTATAAATGATGGAAAATCAGATGACTCACTCCACAACCCAAAAATATTTATATAAAAATGATTCTAATACTGTAATATAATACAAAGTAATTTTTGAAATTACAAAATATAAATAAAAATAAACAAATTAACTTGCACTTATTTTGCAAACCTTTGTGGCTAGTACGAAGGAGACAAAAGAAAGGAAGATTATTATGCATGACTATTTTCACTATCACTAACGTAATCACTGCTATCTACTGGCTCAGTGGAATCTTATTCTTTTCATTCAGCTTTGTCAAGGAACCTATCCAGTGACACTTGCTTTTGACTCCTTTTGAGGATTTTACAGAAATGCGACCTTGCAGTCTCACAAAACAGATTCATTGCTCGCACCGCTACAGCTTTATTCAGGTGGTAGCTTCCTACAAAATTTAACTTTTCCCTACACTTTACACATCTCCCTAATCTCAGTGGAAGTGCAGGATTCTCCACGTGTTTCTCCTCCTTTGCAGATGAGATCTCCTCCGTAACCTCTTAATGTCGGGAGAAAATCACCCACAATCCCTCAGAGAAAGCGAGAGAGAGAGCACTAACTCAGCTGTGATCATGTGATGTTTAGCATCATATCCTATTTAAATTGCAACACATTGCTATTTACTAAGTTAAAATGTATTTGAAATGTTTGATTGTCTTGTAGAACACTCTCAGAACAAGATACTATCCAAGGTTTTATATTCTCTCTCTCTCTCATTTGAAAAGGAGTAGATTTGATAGAGGAAAAAGGAACCCCAAATGTATTTGTAACTGAAACATCACGATATCCTGAAGGAAGCTTTTGGCAGGACAGTTCTCTGTCCATGAATAATTCCTAAGGTGCACAAACAGTAGACAGCATTCTCTACCATGACTGTGAAATGATCTGCAGAAAAGCATTCCAGTGGCCACTATACCAGTGGCAGTACTTTGTGTGGTCAGATGAGAAAAATCATTTTAATTTTGTTTGTAGTCATTAATGTTATTATCTTCTGCACTACTGGTTGTTATGTTTTTGTTTTTTGCAGTACGGGGGATCATACCCAGGAACACTCGACCACACAGCTGCATCCCCAGGCCTTCTTATTTTTTATTTTAAGACAAAGTCTCACTGAGTTCCCCAGGCTGGCCTTGAACTTGTAACCTTGCTACTTGAGCTGCCTAAATAGCTAGAATTATAGGCAGGCACCGCAATGCTCTGTTACACTTAGTTGTTTGCTTTTTTTTTTTTTTTATTGTAGTGTAGGTGGTATTGGGAAATAAGGTACCACGTTTCACATTTATGTACACTCAGGGTTTCCCAAGCAAAGAACATTGGCAGCTGGATTAAGGAGTGATTATATGCTGATCCTAAAGGTAGAGATGCAGAGACTTTCATAAATGTTCTAGAATGGTGAATTGGAGACCATCCCTCCACTTTTCAGAAGATTAGGACAAATTCATTCATTCATTCATCCTGTCTCTCTGTCTCTCTCTCTCTCCCCTTTTTTCTCTCTCTACCTTTCGCTTCTCCCCTCCTTGATCTGTTTCCTTTGTTCCTTTTTTCTCTGTGGTCCCTGGAGAACAGGAAAGACAGATGTGTCAGAAAGTCCCACATGAAAAAAAAAAAAAAAAGAACAAAGTCCACATGAGCCCTGCTTCATAATGCTGGTATGATCTACAACCTTCAAACCTCACAGTACATGTAGTGTACCTTTGGGAATGAGAATCTAATGTAAGCGGATGTGTGAGTGCCTAAATGTTCCAGCTTCTAATCTAGTGTGTGTGTGTGTGTGTGTGTGTGTGTGTGTGTGTGTGTGATTACAGCAGACAGACAAGGGACAATCCAATTTATTAAGGGCTGCTTTCACCCAGTGTTAGTAGCACAGCATGTTAAAAACTGCCACACTTCAATGCCACGGTTACTTCAAATATTTTTGCTCGCAGGTAACACAACATCTCAGATCTTTCACAATTTCAGATCTAACAAGTAGAACTAACCAAATTGAAAATATAAATCTAATTATAAAATTAAACAGTTAACACCATATTCATCAAAAGAACACATTATGTGCCCATGGCTTTACTTTTTATTTCTAGTGCATAAGAAAGTACAAAAATGTTTGATAATGTCTGGTATAAATACAGATAACCATGTATACTAACTAAAGGGAACATTGTGTATCACTGAAAAGAAGAAAAACAAATAAACTACCTTGACGGTGGTGGGGCACTGGTGATATTAAGGAAGGCTTTAGAAAAATGGACATCTCTTGGCTGAGCCTTGAAGGATAGTAAGAAGCAAAAGCACAATAGTTTTTAGACTTTCAATCCCTAGTGAATTATATAATTCGCTAGTAAAGAATGGCAATCCTTACTGGACAAATACTCATATTACAGGCACTAAGTTAAACAAGTTTTGCTTTGTAGTTTATTTCTTCCAAACTCCTGTGTGAGAATGTGTTAGTAGCAATTAGTAGTAGTGATGATGGCAGTGGCAGTAGTAGTTATTTTTAGAAAGGTTGGTTAATTGTTTATGTTGAATGGAAGAGTGGTGATAGACCCGGAATCTTCACAAGCTAATGATAAGGACAAGGCTCAGAGCATTCATTTTTCCAACTTTTGGTCACAGAAGTTAAATAGGCAAAAACCAAGAGACAAGAAATCTTGGGCACGTTTTAGGAACACAAGTCTCAAAGCTCAGGGTCGAGAGTTTGGTACTAACTCTGTTGTAACCTTGGATAAATCCTTCCACCTGACTGGGTTTCTGTATCAACACCTACAGCACATCGATGAGATTCTTTTCAAACTGAAATTTCTAGCACTTTAAAAGAAACCAAATTAAGAACTTCACAACACAGTGACAGATGTAAGTAAATACATGAAAGATACCATAGAGATGACGCTAAAGGACCTTAGTAACCGAGTATAAGAGCTAAGAAGGAGAAAACAGAAGAGTGTATTTTAAGATCAGGTACGCAGAGATTACTGAAGATAAAAAACCCAAGAAGAGCATGAAAGACCAATCAGAATTCATTTTAAATATTGATTCTGAGCTATTAGTGAGAAAGACAAGAAATGTTCAGAAGACCAACTGACAATGACACTCCATAGTCCAGACTATTGACTGAGGTTCAACTTTTGAAGCTATTTACATTGACAGGCAGATTGATGAGATTGCTTAGGGACAGGCTGTGGAAAGAGAGAGTAAATCAATCACAACTGGCTCCAGTGACAGTTAAAGGAGAAACAGAAAATTAGGCTTTAGGCAAGGAGTGACCAGAGAAGCAGAAATTCATAGGAAGAGGGAAGAGGGTACACATCAAATTTAAATAATAACAAGCACCAAAGGAACGATCAGCCAAAAGAAAGATTCCACTTGTGTCCAGGGACATTCTGTTCACTATGGTGGAGACCTGGAATCAACAGTGTCCAGCATGATCTCCATGAAAGGTTCCATGTTGTGCCTCCTTTCCTGGTTAATAATGTCTTCCTGTCTACAGTGACAGTCCTGATGCCAGAGATGTACCAGAAGCTGAAGTCACAACAGAAGCCAGAGCCCCTGATGACTTTCCCAGTCCTCCCAGCAGCAGCGAGGAGAGTACAAGCAGCTGGTCCCAGCTAGCCAATGAAGAGGACAACCCAGATGACACAAGTAGCTTTCTGCAGCTCAGCGAAAGATCCATGAGGTACCTGCTGCTTGTTTGACTTACCAGGGAAAGGGGTCTTAACAGAGAGGTTCCAAGCAACACATTGGATAGTTCTCTGCAAAGTCTCCCTAATAGTGAGAGAAAAAGCAGAAGAAAAACTCCCATTTAGTCAAGGTCTCTGGCTGTCAGGATTCATGCTGAAAGATATTTTCAGATTTCTTGAGTAGAGATGAGAGGTAGCCATATTCCCTTCCCTGAAAGACCCAACTAGAGTGTTCAGTGTACCAGCACTAGCACTAGCACTGTGATTTTTGTTAATAGAGAGCTGCTGTCACACCTTGTCGCAGTTTTCTCCCTGGTTCATTTCGGCTTGGTTTACACTGGGCAAGTGTTTTCACATTGTGTCATGTTGTTTGGCCCATTTCTCTCCTTTATCTGCCCTGCCCTCTGTATTATTCTTCTGGAAAAGATAGTTGCTTAGGAGAGATGAGATTTGGAAGAACTTGAGCAATTAGACACAAACTAAAAGCTATTCCTCTTTGAGGTGGAACATCTAAAGCATCTCTCTGTGTCTAGGGAAAGTCTTACAGTGTGTTTGCCATTGGACCAACAAGTCCACAGGATTTCCAGAGAAGCCAAATGGAAAATGTCATGCCAAAGCCTCTGAGTGCACATAGGGAGCTTTGAAAATTTTATTTCTGGCAGCCCAGTCTGTTTACACCATAGGAACATTTCATAATTTTAAACAATGTGTCTAAAATCCCCAACACTGGTGGTAAATGTCACAAAATAGAGACAAAAAGCCAAGAGAATTTTAATCTTTGGCTTTCACGGCAGAAGTTTATAGGGTTAAGCACCTCCCGTGCAATATTGACTCATCGGATTGCAATCTGTGGAATAGTCTGAGCCACCTGAAACTTCAGACAAGCATTTATAATGGAGAGCATCTGGTGGGTATTGAAAGAATATTATTCCATTGTATGGCACACCAGCAGCCGCCCTTCCAAAACCTCGCTTGGAAGAGACATTCTTGTGAAATAGAGAAGGTGAGAGGAGATTCAGCGAGCTTGGTAAAATTGGATACTTTGATTTCACAAGTACAGGAAGAGCCTGAAATTTGGCTCAACTCTACTGCATCTCAGTGAGTAAGTGCCATCTTAGTAAGTAGACCAGATGTTAATTGTACAATCGACAGAAAAGATGCATGTATAATCCTCCTTCTTGACAGTAAGTCAGGTGTTGTATGTTGTTCCTCCTCAAAAATTGTAAGATAAAGGAATGATAAAACTTTCACATTACCCTCTTTTTGAGCCTGTAAATTTTTTCATCCATAGAAAAACAAGCCATGTAGTTATACTGTGAAATCCTATAGAATTACCTTGAGAAAAATCTCCTGAAAGGTAAAGAAGGAATATGGTTTTCTATCAAATTTTCCAAGAGGCAAGCAGATCAGCAATATGGTACCTCCCAGACAGCATTGCCAGGACTTTGTCTGCAGACATACCCAGCAAAAAGAAATCTCTTACTGACAAAATGAATTACTATCCCTCTGACTAGAATGAGAAAGAAAAGAGAATGCTGGTTGTTACATGTGACATCATTTTGGACATTAAAACTTGTTTTTATTATTTTAGTTGTTGTTAGCTTGATCCTGTTAGGATGCTGTCTTGTGTTTCTTCCTAAAGTAATCAGAAATGTGTATCTACAAAACAGTCCTCTCCTGGGGACCCAAGGAAGGACTTTTCACAGCAAAGGAACATGAGCGTCAGCAGCATGGTCAGGGGGTGGAGATGGGCATTAATATATAAATTTTTGCTTTGTCAGCAATGGCAACAGTAGTGCCACTAGCAGTCTTGGCATTATGGACCTGGACATTTATCAGGAAAGCATGCCATCTTCTCCCATGATTCAGTAAGTAGCCTCTGAGATGTAGTGATTGTGAGACCACTACTCCAATTCCATCCGGCAATCCATTCTGATCATTCAGGTTGTGCCCAACCTCCGATTTCATCATGTCTGTGCTGCTGTGGGTCCATGTCACGGGAGCAGGATTCAGGCCTGAAAACAGCCCCGTCCTATCACTACCTACCTTCTTGGTTTCAAACCTGCTCCGTACAGAATAATCATTTCACATAAAGATTATCGATATGTGTAGTGTATATAACCTTACTTGTACATGTAGAAGCAAAAATTCCACCTAAATTGCACCTGCCACCAATGAAGACTTTTCAATGGTCTTCACTGCAGAATAGAATCAAGTGTGAATGGCTTTCCCATTGGTGTGGACATCTGGGATTATCACTGCTAAATGTGTCAGTAAAAGCTGGTTGCCATGACAAAGATGTGTCATCTCTACCCAGTGACTCTGCTCTCCACAACATGGGGACTGGTAAAAGACCAAAGGGCAAACTGCTTCCAGAGGCACAGTGCCTCATCAAACATGGCACAGAAAGGGAGGGTAACATGAGGTCAAGATCACTTCTAACATTTGTGACTGCTCTAGAAATTAAGTGAATTGAAGTGCAGGTTTGACAGTTATGACTTCAATCATTATTATTTGGACATTTATGAAATTTTAAAATACAAAAGTATAAGGACTAAATATTCATTCTAATCATTTCCTCATTCTAATCTAATTCCTCAATCATTTGTAGCTGTTTTCCTCAGTGACTGGAGGTCACAGTGCATCCTTTATTGTTTCACAGGGCCATTTTCACAAGTAGAAATGATCATACACATTATCTTTTTTTTTAAGAACCAAAAAAAGTCAACTTCGTGGTTAATTAATTCTTCTCCATCAGAAAACATTCACTTAGCTACTTTTTTCATCTTTCTCTGCAGTAGAAGGCTATAACTTCAGAAAAATCTGTATACAGGAAAAGCAAGATTCCCACCTCCTATATCCAGCATCCTGTTATCTATGTTAGCAGAAACTTACTGCCACTTGCCCTGTCACTTGTGTCACTCACATGAGATACAGCACAACATCTAGACCTTTAGGGGATTGACATTTCTACAAACAACTAGTGTGAAATGAAAGAACCCTCGTATAGGACTCTTTCAACATCAGGGAAAGTTATCATTATCAATGCAATTCTTCAACACTAAGCAATTTGTCAGCCAGATATAAATACCAACAGAGAACATGAGAGTCATTATCATAGCACATATTTCTCAGATCCTTATTACAAATTTCTGGACAGTATAAAAACATAGGCCATCTACCAGCATGGTCATTTCCTTTCAGCATTTGGGCCATATGGTGTCAGTTTTTAAGTTTTACTGGGTTCTCCCAAGGTTTGGTGTAAGACTGAGCAATCAGTGCATACCACACAAACACATTTCCAGCATTAAACATTACTATAACTAATGAAAAACTTCAGTTATGATTCCTTAGGTCTAAAATACTCCTGTCCTCTTACACTTCTTCCCAGTAAAAAGAATGGAAAAGAATATTTTCTATCCACTAAGGTATTTTGCTATAAAATCCAAGTTCTGCATTTCAGGTCAAAGAACACTATACATGTAAGAGCCTATTTTCCTATATTAAAACACAAATGCATGTTTCTCTCCTAGTATGGGGAAAACTGTGACAGTATGGAAACATAAGGTGCATTCAATGAGAAGGAAAATGCAAGAAGATAAATCTCAAATAAGAACTAGTTACCCAAAATCTCTTGACTATTAATCCTGTGAAACATTTATGGGAAAGAATTTGAAGAGAAAAATGCATCTCTCTGAGTCTCCTACACATATTACCCTAATTAAAACCATTCAGGTTACTGGTGCTTCCCTGGAGGAGGGGGTTATATAGTGCAGATCCAGAAATGGTAATACTGCATTTATATTTCCCCACTTTACTTTGCTCTATGAAAACGTTAGGTCTAGGATGAACTTCAGAAGCTTGTAGGTCAACAAGACCTATCACCTCATCTTTCATTTACAACTTATTCTTCCTACACATTACCAACCATGCGCTGTTGTTTTCTCCCAAAGTGAATTAGTAGAAGAAAAGGAGATTCTTAAAGGACAGTCAGAAAGCATAAAGGGTAAGTTGCGTTCCCCTGCTTTTGATACACAATTGCCTGGGACCTCCCACTGGAAAGCAGAGTAACGGTGTGCTTGTATCTGTTCAGAGCAAGCCCCTGGCCTGCCAGCGACAGCAGCCAGCCACCAGAGGAGCCTGCTGGTGATCAACTTCGACCTGGAGCCAGAGTGTCCTGACGCTGAACTTCGAGCCACTCTGCAATGGATTGCCGCCTCCGAGCTCGGAATTCCCACCATCTACTTTAAGAAATCTCAGGAAAACAGAGTTGAAAAGGTACTGTGTTCCATGTTTGGGGAGTATATCAGTAATACTTGGTGTTTTCATCACTGCTGGAAACTCGCCTAATGCACAAGGGTTTGAAGTGTTTGATCTTGAGTTTTCTTGACCTCAGAACTGGAGAAAGACCTTGAAAACTTGTGTTTATTTTCTTTCTTTTTATTTATTTATTTATTTATTTATTTATTCATTTATTTTTGAGATAGGATCTTGCCATGTAGTTCGGGAGGCTTGAACTCCCCACGTAGCCCAGGCTGGCCTTGAACACACAGTGACCCTGTTGCCTGGACTCCCTACTGCTGGGATGAAAACTTCTGTTTAAATACAAACTTGATAATTGGTTCTCTGACTCTCAATTTGTTTTCAATAGTTGATGGTGGCAATAAAAGTAAATTAAGGAAATGGAAACTGCTTTGAAGTTATTTTGAAAAGATATTTGCACAATTTTATTTTGATGTTTCTTTGCTCAGGGTCCAGCCTCTTCACAATACTCATTTAACAGAGTAAGGGAAGAGCCTTTAATTCATACATTGCACTGCTGCATAGATCTGAATCACTGGTCGTTCCATGTATAACTGTCCTATCAGGCGGCATGGGACAGTTGTGTCGGTATCACGCCAGGTTCAAGCCAGTGGGGACATGTGAAAGAAAACATAGGAAAAAGTGACCTGACCTATAGTGAGCCCACCCTGATAGTTAAGAAAAGCTGTGACACAGAGTAAAAGGAAACATATTTTTAATTCTCTACTAAGTGGGTTGCGTTAGGGGAACTTCCTTGTTATCATTCTCTATCTTCTAGAAATAAAAAGTTAAGGAATAAATCCTTAGCCAGTATTACAATTAATAGCAACTTCCATGCTCATTCCAGAGCCCTGAAACTTACCAGTCACTGTGGTAGAATCTCAGCCATTTAGGTTAAAGAATGAACCCACCTACCAAAGTCCAGTTCCCATAATTTAAATGGATTTTCCTTTGAAAAATAATGATGCTGTATTAGTTTTACGCTGCTGTTAAACAAATTTCCACAAATGTATAAAGTTAAAGCAACGTCAGCTCTGTAGATCAGAAGCACAAATGAGATTCTGATTTCTTGCCAAGACTGACAAGGCATAAATCAAGAAGTCAACCTAACTGGGGTCTTATCCAGAAAGTTCCAGAAAAGAATAAGCACCCAAGCTCATTTGGGTCACTGTCCTATTTCAGTCTTTTGCATTTACGGGACTGAGGGACTTCTTAGCTGGCCGCCTACTGAGAGCCACTCTCAGCATCTGGAACAGCCCCTGATTCTTACCATGGCCCCATCTTGTCCTCACACTGTCAGTCTGAAGGAGAGGATTACTTTGGCTCAGAGTTTGTAAAGATTTCAGTCCGTAAGTTTGCTGGCTCCCAAGGCAGGGCATCATGGCATCGGACATGGCAGAGAACTGCTGATGGTGTGTCAGACAGAAAATAGAATGAGATCAAAGGCATAGAGAGGGAGATGGACCCTCCAGGACCCCCAGTGACCCTCCTCCGTAGCACAGGCTTCACCTCCCCACGTCACAAGTAGCTGTCACCCATGTATGAGTAGGACTAACCCCCTGATGAGTATCGTACCCCATGATCCAGTTACTTTTCAAAGGCCTCACCTATGAGCACATGAGACTTTGGGGGACATCTAGAAATAAAGAATAAAGGAATTAAAGCCAAAACATCTTAGGCGCTTTTTTTAGGATCCTGCCCATCAGAGCCACCAGGTATTTTTTTTTTCACATTTTATCCCCATGAGCCTCCTATAGCTTATTGTGCTTATTTCTTAGACACCCTGTAAGAAAAGCAGAATGGATCCCCTTGTCTCTTTTTTACTAGAGAGCAAACTGGGGCTCAGAGAGGCTGGTACCTGAGGGATTCCTCTGATAGTAATAGTCCTCAAGGCCGACTGGCTCATAAAATATTTCCAAGTTGCTTTTTATTTAAAAAAAAAAGTCTCTCTCCAGTTAAAGGACCCTAGAGTCATAATTTGCAGTTTTTAGTAGGTAATTACAGTTTAATTTTCAGTGCCAAAAGCTAGCAGTTTGAGATAAAATTTTCTTTGCATTATGGCCCATAATTGAAACAGCTTCCTTGTCTCTGCAGCATCAGCCAATCTGATTAGATACTGAAAAAACAAGATATAATTTATTTTCCAAGTCTACTTTTACCTCTCTCATCAGCCAGTAGTAGGCAGCTCTTTTCATGCCCAAGTCTACCTGCTGCTGTTCCAGACAACTGAATCTAGATGGTCTCCTGTCTTTGCCACTCCTTTGTTTGCAAGGTGATGTGTGGGTCACCATAAACCTTCCTTCAGTTTTATCACCATTGTAAACAATGAAGTAAAAGAACATATCATCACCTTGACCCCACCTGTGTGACAGGCTGTCCCATGGGGAGACACATGAATATTCATGTCAGAAGCACGTTCCTAGGTCCAATGAAAAATGAAAAGAGGGCTAGTTTCCAACTTTTTCTCTAATTTCCTGAATACAAATATTGATTATATGGCATATTTTTCGGTGATACCTTAATGGAATAGGTTTTGTTTCAATTCACCTTTTGAAGAAGTAATCATTTTATGAATAAAAATATCATAAATCCCCAACTGGTACAAGAGTGAAGCATGTTCTCCTAACACCTGGATTACATAAACCATGCCCTGACTAAATATTTGTTTGCCCCACCTGATTTTCAATTCTGAAAGAGAATGCATTTCCTTCCTCAAAACTATTTTTCTAAGAAAATAAATGTCCACAAGCAATGTCAAGAAATATTTCACAAAGGAAGGGCAAAAGAAGGAAGAATTTGATGCTAAGGTTTTTTATTTGTAAATATAAGCAATTGAATTCTCTGCTAAGGATTTTCAAGCTTACTGAGTGTTTGAATCAATGGGGAAGCTTCTAAGAAACCTGATTTTTGAGCACTCAGTTAAAAATCTCATTAGTGTAAGACCCAAGCATCAGTATTTACATTCAGTCTTCTTATCTTAGTGCTAAGAATCAAGGCTCTATAAACCATAATTTCAGGAGCAATATGGGAACCAATGAACTTGTGTTTACTGAAATCTTTCTGCCTTGGAGCAAAAGATGGGAGCCAGCTTCAGAAGTTCTAAGTTAAAAGTTTCCAAAGTATTGCATAGCTTGTAGCACCTGCTTTAAATTCCACCCTATGACATTGTAAATAACCTAATCTATTAAATGCACCGGAGAATATCAATGTCCTCCACCGTGTGGTGTTTTTCTTCAAGTGAGACAGCCAAAATTATTCCACTTTGCTCAAGAAGTGCCTACTGGAATCTACAGAAGGAGAATCCAATCAAGGTTGATCAGGAAATAAGATTTTCATTTTTTATTTTTTAAAACAGAGGAAAGAAAGATCCGTATCCACCCCATACTAAAGGTGATCAAGACAATACCAAACCACTGGCATGGACAGATGTGATGAAAACTCTAGGTGCTAACTAGAACACGGGTTCTAAAAGCCTAGAGTGAGCCCAGAGTGAGAGATGCCAGTGTCTTTGTCTGACTGCTTCATTATCCTGCTTTGTTTTTATCTATTTTTTTAAACAAAGAAAGCACACGACCTTCTTGTTTATCAGATCTACATATGTTTCAAGGTCTCGATGTCCGAAATTAAATCATCAAAGCCTCAGAGCACGCTATTTTTAGTGAGGACAGATCATTTTTTAAAAATTGCTGTATTGAAATATCAGCCTTGACTTAGAGACAGATTGTAGCCCATGGTCATTCCACAAATGACTGGTACAATGGCCTCACTGCTAGGGCACTGTCACTGCTTTGGGTCTGTCATAAGCCTCCTGTGGTCATTACCACAGAGAGAGCTTCCTGACAGACTCCAAATAAGCCGAACGAAGCTGAAGTTTGACTTGCAGAATTGTCTGAAGCATCAAACCTTCCAGGAAGGGTCTAGTGAATATTGTTGTCTTCCCCTGAGCTTTGATTCTTCCTCCCCCAGGCAGGTTCTCTGAAGTATAGGTTGATAAAGCAATAGCCCAGTGAGCTAGAGTTCGCAGAAAAAAAACACAGAAAGGATTTCAGGCTGCTTTTCTAGGTCTGTACCCATTGCCTTGAGTGAACATTTGTAAGACGGTAAAGGGAAAAGATTCACCCTCAAGGGATGACCTTAACTGAAGGACACTGGTCTTTGTTTGGGGGAGTCTTGAGAGAGAAATAAATGGCTCATGCACAAGCCCTTCTCAGTGATGCTTTAGAACTTGATATCCAGGTCTTCTTCATCAGGAGCACCCACTTCCGGGTCTTCAGTAGGCTGGGGAAAGGTCAACGAATCGAACCATGCAAAGATGCCTTGTTCTTTCCTCTTTGCTTTCCCTTGGGACTGGTATTCTGAAACCTCATATTTTCCCCTCATATTCCAATTAAAACCATGACTTGCGTCTTTCATCCATGCTGAGGTTTAAGGGACAGTTCACAAAGTTTTCTATATCTCTGTAAGTCACTCCCTAGCCATGTGAAATGTTTCCTACCTAAAGGTACTGCAGGATAAGCAAAGCCTTCACCTAAAGTGCACCTGTTCGTTAAATGTCAGGAATCAGATAGACAAGACACCCACCAGGAAGAGGACAGACCCAGCCCACTACCAGTTTCTCTGCAATTCTAACACAGAATGATTGTACCAAGTGAGCTATCTCTCCATTTCTGACACAGTGAGCGGTAAAAAGAGATGAGGAGTATCTCACCCCCAGACGCACCTGCTGGGTCTCAGTTGCGATCATAGGAGACATGCCCCACGATCAGTTCTTCTATGCTCCTCACACAATGCCAGGGTCTCACTTCTGGCTCTGTCCACTCACCTCCTGTATCCATAAGCTCCAAGCATTTTTCTGGGGTACTTTCCCAGGAGAAAATGATTGAGCAGGCGTTCCATAACTATACAAGTTTATGTTTTAATTGCATATATGCAAATATGTTACCTAAAATTTAAGAATGAGTACTTAGCTAACATTATTCTTCAATGGTTCAGATGTCCACCTGTATTTCAAATAGTTTTCTTGAGAACTTTGAGTGTGTTTGACTCACATATGATCATCCATTCCTTACATCATCCAGCAAATATTCATTGAGCACTTTCTGGTTACAGGCACGAGATACAAAATGATGGGTAAGACGTGACCTTTCCCCTGGGATATTACTATCTATCATATGGTGGGTGGCCATCTGCTTCCCATCTCTCTTCCTTTCATAATATCCCAGAACTCTTCATGACACCAGTTGTGTTTCCCTGCATTAAAAATAAGTATTTAATTTTCCAGCCTACAAAATTACTTTATTTTTATTACCTATGCAATACAAGTGAGTTCAATAAAGCCCTGGGTTTTTATGACTCTTTTGATAGTTGCTACTATCACAGCTGAAGGAAAGATTATGTTTATAGTTGTCTCCATGAGACAAATTAATTAATGAATTAATAACTCCAAACTAAAATAAATTAGTATTCCAACTTCTTCCAGATCTCTGAAGTATGAGTAAATGCAAAAAGTAGAATGAAAAATTCCTAGAAAGAAACATTAAAGAAATATAACTGGATTGCTGTCCTCATCTTTTTAACCAATAGGCATTTCTCCCTAAAAATGATATTGGATTCTCAGTCTGTCATTTCTCTTTGTGCAGCAAATAAATGCCAGTATTATCTTCTCCTGCTACCAAAATGCAGGAAGATACCATGTGACCAAGGCCACTAGACTGGAGTGTTAGAAGTCCAGCGGCTCCATGGCCAGTTCTTATCTCTCCAGCCTGCTCCACAGGTGTTCAAGATTGGATGATGTGACATGTTAAACCATGTTCTGCAGCTTTATAATATTACTTTCCTTAAAAAGTATCTGACAGGAGTTTAAGAAGCCTGCACACTGCATTTTTATCATACCGTTTCATTAACATAATGACCAGTAGTGATTTCTCCAAGCCTCCAGGTTGCTTGCAATGTAGAGCCTGGTCTTTAGGCACTGAAGCTCACCCTGATCCCCAGGTGACGAGGGTGTCTCCTCAATTTTTCCTTTCCCTGTCACTTTGGAAACTCTCCTGATGCTTGATCAGAGCAAGCAGAGGGGGAAAATGCTTCTCAAGATGAAATGGCTTGACTTGAAATTTTAACAATTTATTTGACCCAAATGTGCACATCCAATGAGAAATGATCTGTGGTAGAAGAGACAGAAAGTCATGCGATGTAGTCCTATTGCAGGGTATCTAACCCAGAGATGAGCAGACTGAAGATACACTAAATACGGAAAAGACTGGCTCAAAAAAAAAAAAAAGAATTAGCCTCTTTGCACCTAATCACTGCTTTGAGGAAAATTCCAGGTCAGTTGAATGAACTCTATTATAATTAATGTCTAAAAAGGAAATGGATGGTCCTGAAAAATGGTAGCCAGACTAGCGACACTCATAGACCTGAGAGACACTTGAATGACAGACATGTAAGGACACTGTGATGCCTGAGTCCTAACTCTGTGTTTTATTCTAGTTTCTAGATGTTGTGCGACTGGTCCACCGGAAGTCTTGGAAGGTGGGCGATATCTTTCACGCAGTCGTCCAGTACTGCAAAATGCATGAGGAGCAGAAAGAAGGGATTCCAAGTCTCTTTGACTGGCTCCTGGAACTGGGATAAGACAGTTTTGCCCTGAGGACAGTTTCTTTCCTTCATCTCAGCTTAGGTAACAGTGGTTTGCTCAATGCTCTGAACTTTATCAATACATCCCATAATATTAGCAGAACTATAAAAAAAATCTACTGCTCAGTCCAATGTACATGGAGTAATCTGATGGAAAGCAAAATATAGGTTGAATACAACATGTTCCAAAGATCATGAATTGGAGTGGCTGGCAAAAGAGATGCTTCAGTGGGGACCCAAATTAAAAAGTTTATAACTCTTCCCAAGTTCCAGGAAAGCTGGACTCATGTATGCTTAATAATATAAAATTATATGGAATGTCTCCAGTTATGTGATTCAACTCAATGTGAATTCATTGGTGAGAATAATTTTATAAACTATGCTCTACCTTTCATTGTACTGCCAGCCCAGGGAAATACTTGGGATATGGGTGAGAAATTTCCAAGTTTATACAAAAGATTTTCACTTTCAAACCAGAATCAGTGGATATGAACAGGCATGCAGTACTGTGTCTGTGTCCTCTGCTGAGTTGTTTCATTTATTTACTGCAATCCGCTGATAAAAACTCAACTGTTTCCCAACAGTCTGTAGGCTCCTTATTAATCAAAAAACGAACAGCATTCAGCTAAGGGAGTGGGAGGTTGAAGATCTCCTTGTTTCCATGAAAATATTACCTGGGTGAAATGATTCCAGAATTCCTAGCCTATGGGAAAGCTATCTTACTAAAAAGAAAAGAAATAGTTTTTTTTATGTTAAACCCTGTTTGGGTATCCAATTATATTAAATATAAACTTTCATTTTATTTTATTGTAAATTATGAAGAGATTACTATCTTTAATAATATATATTGAGTTAGCATAGATGGTCATAATTCATGAAGAAATTGCTCTCTGAAGTCGGCATTAACGTTGAGCCTGGTGGTTTTTTTGTATTACAAAGGTGGTGACACTAGTTAGCATTACTGATGTGCTACTTTGATGACCTTCATAGTGACAGATATAGGGTAAAGTCTTGTGTTAGGCTTGACGAGTCAGGACGACAGACTTCCTCACTCAATGATATTGGGAGTTTGGGGAATAAAAAGACTGTTACATTAAAATATTTTAATAACAGAGATTTACTCTTTTGAAAAATAAAAGTATCTAACATTTCCCTGGGAAGTTTTCTTTTGTTCCAACTAAATGATCAAAGAGGTTTACTGTGGATTTTCTGAAATACTAAGCTTTTACTGTTTTTAAATATTGCAAAGATATTTTAAATGTAAACAAGGCCCCACACTATTAATGTTGGCTTTGCTTAATCATCTACATTTTCAGATGCCAAGAAAGCATTTTTATAAGCCATACTTTTTTCCCTATCCTCACATGGCAGGAATCTTGTCTAATGCTCACTGGGCCTTTATTATATAAATAGTCCAAATTTAGGTTGTATGTTTAATTTGACCCATGAACCAAATTTAAAATCCATTCATCATCTCAAACTGAAATGTGCTTCTTTGTGCTACTAAATGGAAAAGAATATATTTATTTTTAAATGATCTCAGAATATTGTGCATAGATTCTTGTTGTGCTCAAATGTTTACTTATCTTACAAAGCACAAATACTGGATTGTAACCATGTGATAAATCTGTATATGTTGTTCTAATGTTGCAAACAATCAATAAATTTCTGTTGCCAAATTGTTGATCATCTTCCCTAAAATCTTTGAGCACTTCGTGGAAAAAAATAGTCACAATATGATCAGATGAATGTAGATGTACCCTTTAGATAAGTTTTGCTGTGTTGCTTTCAATTTTTGAATAAGTGTTTAATGACATCTGTTCTAAACAGGAATATTCATGTAAAGTACTGTTCTTAACCTTTGGGGCCAGGTAATTTTCTGCTGCAGAGGCTTGTCCTGTGAATTGTAGGATCGTTAAGCAGCATCCTTAAACCACCCACTAGATGCCAGCCAGTAATTATGTCTGTCCAATTGAAACAACCAAAAACACCTCCCAGAATTGCCAAAAGATCTCTAGGGTTAAAAAGTCAAAACTAGTTTTGAGCTCTTGTTGTGACTAGTGCACTAAAGGGGCAGGGCCTGAGTTTCTATGATGTAGTAGAGTTAAAGGAGTCTGTAGCCTCTTTCTACAGAGTCTCTTTGGGAACCTAAAAATTAGGCTTCTTCTACCCTAGTGCAAGGGCAGTAGCCTTTAAATTAAGTCTGAGGGACAGGAAAAATACACAAAATCAAGAAGGAGTCTCAGGCCTGGTAGTTAATCAATGTAAGGATAAGTAAACTAGAGATAACCTTGTAAGGGTTACAGGTGAATGCACCAAATTCTTTGGACCTGTGGAATGTGTTACTAGAATGTGTGCAAATAAAACATCAAAAATCCTGGGTACTTTATTCTCTAATTTAAAAAAGTGGGTTTATTTGTGTAGTGAAGATTTCTCTAGTCATCCAAGAGCACTGTCAAATAAAAACAAGTTACAGATATCAGCAAAGAAAGACTTTATTTAAATTGTTTTTTGCAGGAGATGGGGGCTACTATTTCAGTGGAGAAGGACCAGTCATGAAATCACCAGCTATCTCAGTTAGGGAGGAGAGTATTTTCTTTTATAATGCAAAGTAAAAAGGCTACAAAGCATGAGATGTGAGGAAATGGGGTAAAGGAAAGCATCAAAGTGAGGTGACCAGATGGTAGACGAGGAACGAGAACATCGGATCAAAGTTCCAGGGCCCAAGGAAAGGAAAGAAATCTAACTTAAATTGGGCCAGTAAGTATTGTGTTCCAGTTGACCAATGAGTACAGTTTGACTAATGATTAATGAGATAAATAGTTGGATTTGGAGGGTCAATGTTTGTCTGACCTTATCAGAGGTTAAACAGGGTAGAGGGTATCCATGAGTTTTAGCTAAGTTTCACAGGCCTTATTCCTTGCAATGAGCTAGAATACAAATATTTGGAAGGATTTCTCTAATCATGGCCATCTACCAACATTGCAGGGCTCAGGTGAATTGTATCAAGACTCAATAAGTGGTCCTGATGAAAGTTATCCTTAACATCTGCAGGGCTCAGTGTCTTTCCTCCACAGAGGAAATACATAGCCTTCCATTTAATAAACATCTCTCTTAGTGATTACTGGATGTCAAGAACCATGCTAGGCAGTTTGAATAAAAACTTTAATCATGCTCAGTCTGGCACCCAGGAAGTCACAGACTACAGGGGAAATAGACACATCAAAACATAGTAAAGAAATAATGTATAATAATTGTTACAATGCACGCTTCGTGGTCTAGCAAAAGAGAAGGGGGTGGGAAAGGAGGATTTATTGCTGCCTGGTGACATTCAGTGCCATTTCCGAGGAGAAAATATTTGGCTCAGGTTTTTAGTTATGATGGAGTCATTTAAATAAGTGGGAAGATCCTAAAGAATGAAAGACTTTGAGGGCAAAACATGACCATGAGCCATGATCTGGAAATGCAATCTAAGAGACAGTTAGAGGTTTGATTGAGTTCTAATATAGGTATAAGCTGAGGAAGGTGTTAACTTTGAAGCTGAAATCTAACTAAAATGAAAGGCATTTTATCCCAAGAGGCTTTCTATTTATATCACAGGGTCCAAAATGCATTTCTCACGCATGAATCCTTTTAGTCTAAGTATATACAAAGTCAGATGTGCTTGTAAGAGAAATGATGTGAAAGCTTGCATGATCCACTGAGTTACACAGCTCACTCTTGGGATAATGTGGTGAAAGATTATGTTGTTCATGGATAAGAGGATCCCCACAGTTCTCTGCTGAGTTTTTTTCATAATGCACTACATTTGGGGATCCCCACAACCAACCTTAGGCTCAGTGCTCTGCTGGAAGAAATATGACTCAGAAGCCACAGATTCCCATTTGTGATTCAGAGCGGCAAAGGGATGAATTCAGATCAGGAAAGGAAAAAGGCACAAAGGACAAAGTCCAGGAGAAATGCATGCAGGTTTCCAGGTGCTCAACCCTAGGATGCATAGGATGTTGTTAGTACTCTAGAAAGGATGTGTGACAACAGAAACAAATTCTTCTGAGCTTCCGTGTTCAGCTTTTTATCAGGATCCATGGCATTGACACGCTAACAGCCACGAGACTGATCTCAGTTGTGCATGCCCCACCACCCTCCCAGGCCAAAAACAAGGGTTTACAATGGATCTTAGTAGCATAATTATCTGGTTAAAGTCATACCATGCAGGAGGTAGGGCACTGAGCACAGAAAAAGACCATCCGACCCTCAGTCAAGCAGGACACCTTCATGACTCCTAGAGCCAGCCAAGAGTCAACCCTGAATTTAGTCCTCTTTGAGGAACATAGAAAGTTGGAGAAGCTCAGGCCTCCTGAGTTAACCCTTTCTTGCATAAGTCCTTATCATCGCGGTCAGCTGAGTGTCTCACTGCCTGATTATAAGGACCTTGAGGATGGACCCACTGTGGGATGGACTCATCTGTGGACACTGCCCTAGTCCCTTGGACAGCATCCTTCCAGTAGCAAACATCAGTGAACTGGAAAAGCTAACAAACCATGGGGAACTGAGATCTTAGTTCATAGCTGATATAATTTAGTCATTAACTCTAGAAATATAATTTTATTTTTGATGTTCTGCTTAGTTCAGAAACTGCTACCCAGTGTAGCGTACAAAGCTGCTAGTGATATCTTATAAAATTGTATTCAGGTTCAGGCAAATGAAAGGCATTTGCCTTTTATTATAATTGCGTAAGGATATTTAACCTAAACCTGACAAAATTTTAAGTGAATATTATATTCCAGTGAGTGAAATTAAGTAATACAAAGGGGATTATCAGCTAGACTCAGAGACAATTGAGTGCTGTATGGTTTACATGAAATGAACATGAGAAGCCTCCCTCTCGCTAGCAAAAACTGTGCACCAACTGATAATATCTGCCATTCTTCTGTCCCACTTCTAACGTTGCAAAGATCCTTCGATCATCTGTTTTCTGAATAATCCCTTCAAAAATGCCCGTCCTTGAATTCTTACATCCTGTCTCACATTCTGTTTTTTAGAATGTGGGGTCCTTCCTGTGCAGGGAGAAGGGGACCCATCTGTTCTTCGGAAATGGCCCGTCATTAGATACTTAGCAGCATTTTCTGTTTGCCTTTGAAATAGTCCCACTGCTCTGGTGAACTCTATTCCATTTACTATTATACCCATCACTCTGGCTGTTCCTGACTGTTCCTGGCTCACAATGTGGCAGGGACTGTAGATTCTACAATGATGCTCCAAGCAAACACAACCCAGGTGCAATGATTATGTTACGGCAAATTGTGTCCTTGGGCTGAGCACTTGCCTCTCCCTCTCCCTCTCCTTCTCCCTCCCTCCCTCTCCCTCTTCCTTTCCCTCTCTCCCTCCCCATCTCTATGTCTCGCCCCCCCCTGCACTGCCCCATCCCACAAACAACAACATGCAACACCGAAAAGTGGCATTTTCTTCTTACAGAGGAGAGCAGAATGAAACAAAAGATTCTCATCATTCGATGGAATGAAGGTGACTGAAACTAGGAAAACCTTTAACTTTTAAGTGCACCGAAATCATCTCCATGCCCCCCCCCCCGAATGTGTGGGTTATGCTTACTTTCTATTTCAAGGAATGGAATGACTATTTTCAACCCAGAACATTTTTAGTAACAAAGGCAGTGGGTCACATGTTAACCTTTTATGAAGCCCATAGTATGGTCCCAAAAAAGCCTCACTCAATCAGATCAGTTATTTCCTTCTTTCTTCATATTCTATAGCCAGACCTGATTTTAAAATTTGAGTGCAGGAATATAATAGAAAAGGCAGGAACTTGTGGTCCCAGCCTTTGGAGACCACTGCAGTGAGTCCCAGATCTGCCTGGACTATGGCACAAGGTGGGAAGAAAGAGAGCAAGAGACAAGTTGGTGGTGCAGGCAGGGATCTGGCGTGACCATTTGCTCTCAGAAGCTCATTCTTCACACCTGAGTCAAGGACAAGGCGTGAAGGGCAGTGTGTGTTTCTGGGAAAGTAATGTGGCTAGGATGAGAGAGTAAGATCAAAACATTCTTGCAAGGACAAGGACAAGGACAAGGACTAGATGGGGGAGGGAGGTGGAAACTGTAGTTTCTCCAGGTGTCTTGTCCTCTCTAGAGAGCTCACCTTGCCCTGTGAGCACCACAACAATCATTAGCCCTAGGGCTCCCAGCTGTGACCAGAAAACAGCAAGGAGTTTTTACGTTTCAGTTTGGCTCAAGGGCAGGACAAGAACAGGCATGGACACCCCCTAGACTCAATTTATAATTCATGGTCCCCAACACCCAGTCATGAGCTTCTGAAAAATGTTAGAGTGCACAAATAGGGTGATGAGATCAATCCTGACAGAATGATGCACACTGGTGACTGGCAGAGAGAAGCACAAAGATAAGACCAGTGTGGGGAGCAAAACGTTTGTGTGATGCTTGATGTTTCTGGAAACTAAAGATTAGGCAAAACTTCCTATGCCAGAGGGATCAGCAGCTTGTTTCCTAAATACCGGGGGCAAAATGTGAATCCAATTTTGAATTATTTTGGCTAAAGAAAAATTCAGGAGTGTTCTGCAAGACAAAGAAAACTGTAATACTAATGCTTTACATTTTGTGTGTGTGTGTGTGTCTGTGTGTGTGTGTTGTGGGCTCCTTAGAAAACTT